TGAAAACTACTTTATTTACTATTCTATTTTAACAAATCTAGCTAAAAATGTAATTCTGAATTAAAACCTGTTTGGGTGTAGGGATGAGACATCCTCCTCATAAAAAGCATACTTGCTACAGAAATCATAGCAATAAGACTAGAGTGAGAGACTGTAGTTGTATACTACACAAAGAGATAAAAAAAAACCAAAACTCACATATAATGGGTGTAACAGTCAAATTATCCAAATCATGGAACAACATAATTGTGTTTCTTTTGTCCAGATTTTCAGATAAGATGTTTAGCCATCTTGACACTATTTGTCGTAAGAATCATTGAAAAAAATCCTTTGAATTATTCAGCTAGAAAAAGAACAGGTTAAAATCATTTTCTGTCAGCCCCATTGGAAAAACACCATTCAGGTCTTCAGTAATGCTACCAACATTCATAATCAGGCTTCCATCTTCAAAGTCCATTCAAAAACCATCAAGAAAACAGTGAATAAGTTTAAAAAAGTGGGAACAGTAGAAAGGAAATCTGCATGATGAGGTCACAACAGCAAAAGGGATCATCATTTCATCTTAGACCTAAATACATTATTAATGTTCAAAGTAGAATCCAGTAGTGTTATAAAAACATTGTGTAATTCAAGTAACATAATATATGTTACTAATTAACAGTTATAATCGTTTTTAAGACACAATGGTTAAAAGCTTAATCTAACAATTGGACAATTTTGCTGTTACACCCGGTACATATATATATATATATATATATATATATATGATTTATTATTTCATTGGATTTTCATCCACACTTTACTCACATAAAGTCAAGTGCACATGCAAAGATATTTCTATTGACAATTTTAAAAAGATAAAAGAAATATATACAAGAATACCCCAGGTTTAAAATTAATTAGTTTCTAATGATATTCTTAAAGAAGGAGTAGAGAAATTGATATATTGTTACTGATAGAAAACAGTTCTTTAACTGAAATTACTTTCCCAGAGAAATTAAATGTGTTTAAAATGTTAAAAATAAAAGTGTACTAAAATTAACAACACAAGCATTTAAATGTTATTAATATGTATTTCAAAATTAACTGTTAATTCCAAACCAAACTTATAAGGCATGAGAAAGGTAAAAAGAGATAATTAATGGCACATCTTATATTAACAACGTTGCCTTCTTGTCTTCTGTTGTCATTTGTTTTCTAAGAAATATCATCAGCATTTCCTTGAGCACCTGACCAGCTCCCTCTATATATCTCAGTTGCTTGCCAATATCTGAGTTTCTGTGAATGATCTTCCTGCCCACTCAGTGACATTGTCAGCCCATTTGCACCTGTCTACATCTTCATTTACCTAAGGTGGTATGTTTTAAGATGGTAGTAGTAAGATTCTTGTCTCTTATTATGCATCTGTGGGAAAATGAACTAAAATCAATAAATAAAACAATAATAAGGGATAAAAAAGAAAAAGAAACACATTTTCCCATTATGCTAAGAGTAAAGGAACTGGAAATAGGATTACTCCACTTGGCTACATCAAACACTGTTAAGTGGTGCTGATTAAGTCTATAAATAGGCAAACATTTTCCTTCCTCATTCTCTTTCTCCCCCTTGCTCCCAAAATGTAGCACCATGTGGTTATTATGTTCCTGTTGGGGAATGTTAGTTTCGCCAGTTCACTAACAACTGAATTCTCTTCCCATTTTCCAGTACATGGTCTTCACTTATGTCTTTCAATCATCCACCTATGAAATAAATCAAACTTTTCTTTGGTTGTTCCAAGTCAGTGCAAGGCTGACGAGCTCAACCATTATAACCATTCTGACACTCCACCAATGATGTAAGACAATTTTTTCCTTGGTCATTCCAACTCTGCATAAGGCTGACTTGAACATGACCATTATAATGATGCTAATCTTTACTTCCCTAACTTCCAAACCAAAAAAATAGTAAATGTACATACTATAACTATGTTTAAACATTCTAATGATGAAGTAAGTACAAACTTTTTTTTGGTTGTTCCGACTCTGCACAAAGCTAATAAGCTTGACTATTATAATGATGCTTATCCTTACTTACCCTAACTTCTGGATCAAGAAAAAAAAAAAACAGACATTCAATAATCATACTTAAAGCTTCCAACAATGAAGTAAGTACAAACTTTTTTTTGGTCATTCCAAATCTGCACAAGGCTGACTTGAGCACAAACATTATAATAATGCAACAAAGAAAACTGGCATATCCAAGAGACATTGAGAACTTTGTTTCACTACCGTTTATATATATAAAAAAGAATAAATGGTCCATAATAAAAAACCAAGGTTTTGTATGCTTAATTGTTTATATATTGAACACACACCCCTACCTAAAATACACCCAAACACACAACCATATATAACCTTACAGCCATACTATTTAAACTTTCTCTTATTGATAATGAGGTCTTCCAGTGTTCCTGTTTCTTGTATGATCGTGTCTCAGACTACATCTTGTTGTCATTTTAGTTTTTATTTATCTTTTAGCAGTAAATTCCTCAATAGCAAGTGTTAGACTTCATTAAGTTTTTCGCAACTGTAAAGCTTTTTTCACAATCAGAGTACTAAAGATTTACTAATTTCTTATTTTTAAATATAACACAGATAAATTCATGGTTTTGTAAAATCCGAGTTTATGAAATGATGTATATTTGTTAATATTCCATGAATGAGAAGTACAGACAGCAAAATGTAAACAAAAAGAACACTTACTCATTTGTTTCTCAAAATATATTTGTCATTATATATATGTGTGTGTGTGTATATATATATATATATATATATATATATATATTATGCATTCAGGGAGCAATCCCTCTTTTATACATTATCAAAGATGATTTGATTTTGATTTCTTAACATTTAAACACACACGCAAACTTACTAGACTCCATCCGAAACATACTAGTAGAAAATACAAGCATAATAGCCTCACCCACATGTAAAAAAAAGATAAAAAATAATGGAAGCCTTAATAATAAAAAAGAAAATGCCAACACTCAATAATATTAACTATGAACATGGTCACAATGTACTGACTGTGTTTTGAAAATAAAAATTTCCTATCACTCTAGATACATACACACAACCCATACATCCAGTTAAAAAATCAAAATGAAATCATCCTTGATAATGGCTAAATGTAGAGCCAAAAAATGTTTGGAATTACAGAACATTTGGATAATTTCTACACACTCTGTGTCCAGAAAAGAAAATATTTGTTCGAACAAAAGAAAAATGAAATAAAAAACTTAATCACAATACTTTATCTGTTTTCTTTAATGAAACATATATATATATATATATATATATATATATATATATAATATATAAAAGTAATGAATTATTTATTTATTAATCCAACAGATTTTATCACTTTAAATGTTATTTTTAATGGATACCCATATTGTAGTAGACACTCCATTTATTTTAAACAGCATATTTATTTTGGTCTACCAGCCCAAAATCTTATTAAAGAAAAATATGCACACTCTGGTAGGATACAAACCTGGGTGCCCTTTTGCATTAAAAACTGTTGCTAGATCAGATATGCTTTAGACTGACAAGGCCATAAACAGTGTCACTGATCGATCCAGCAAAGGATGACACAGGTTCAACTCTTGATCCTGCCTAAGCTTGCACCAAGCAAAGAACACTCAAACATTGTCTACTCTGCACTCAGTTGGTAAAACAGACATTGTGCAAACAGTACCAACTAAATAATAAAAAACAAAAAATATACTTCCAGGTACAGAACCTGAAAAATGTCACACATAGGAGAAATAATTCTCAACTAACAATATACAAAATGCATAAAAATATACACTGGACAAAGATGAAAAGAATGATCCAAATATAAATGTAAATTCTGAGACCAGAAATAGTTTTGCAGATATTTTTCTTATTACTATAGATTATGCATTCCAGGCCGCAAATATAAAAATATTGTTTTCTTTTTTTTTAATTTTATAAAGGTTAATTGTGGGAGTAAGGAGAAAGATCCAGGTTGCTATATAAATTCATTGTAAATAGATCTCCCCATCCACTACAGAAATCAAAACAAAATATACTCATATCATTTTTTTTTTATAAATATTGTGAAAATGAAAAAAAATGCTTCAGATTAAGAATTTCAAAATGTTTTTAATTTTAAGAAATCATGTTGTATGAACTTCTATAGTTGGATCAATTTACAATTAATTTATATAAAAAACAGGACCCCCCCACCACCATTAACTTTTATAAATGTTAAGAAAAAATTAAAATTCTGCTATTTTGATCTAGAGTGATTAATCTATATTAATATGAAAAAATAAAATTAAAATGCTGGTTACGTGCCTGTTGTACAAGAAAAAAAACAAAAACAAAACATTAACCTAAGAACTACATTCATCTCTTTATATGGACTTCTGAGATTGAAACTTCTGCATGGATGTCAGGTATGATGCCAAATGCATTCAGAAATACCTAGCTGTACGCAACCACTTTCTCAGATCCATGATTAAAAATGCCTTCCAGCAAATGAAACATGTAGGTCTTAGCAAGGACAATCCTTCTTTGACTGGCACTACAGAATCACAAACAAAGATTTGTACCAAATAATAGAAATCACTATCACCTAATGACTTGCAACAGCTAAAATAAATATCACATGTAACAAAGAGAAAATAATGATACAATCAAGATGTTGACATTCCACACAACTTTAAAAAAAAAAGTTAGGAAGGAAGCCCCATCAATAGAGAAAAGAGCAATAAAAGCTACTGGATATGGGAAACCTATTAATCTATATAACAAACTAACAAGTGGCAGAAGAGTAATTGGGTGGGAGAGTAAGGAGATAAACAAAAGATAGTAAGTTGTGGAGAGCCATCATTGTCCATATCTTGAATGGACAAAGCACATAGAATAATAAAAATTCATTCTTTGATTAGCTAGTGATTATTAACTTTATAATAATAACCAAAGCTGCTAAAAAGAAACAGAGTATCTACACTGTTTTGGAGCACACTGTATTTTTGACAAAGAAATATATGCAGCAAAGAGAAGAGAGAAGATGCAAAGGGGTGAGAGAAAAGAGGGTGTGGAAATATAAAGAGCAAAGAGAAGAGAGAGGATGTTAAGAGAAGAGAGAAAAGAGGGTGTGGAAATATACAAAGCAAAGAGAATAGAGAGGATACAAAGTGAAGAGAGAAAAGAGAGTGTGGAAATATAAAGAGCAAAGACAAGAGAGAGAATGCAAAGGGGTGAGAGAAAAGAGGGTGTGGAAATATAAAGAGCAAAGAGAAGAGAGTGGATACAAAGTGGAGAGAGAAAAGAGGGTGTGGAAATATAAAGAGCAAAGAGAAGAGAGTGGATACAAAGTGGAGAGAGAAAAGAGGGTGTGGAAATATAAAGAGCAATGAGTAGAGAGAGGATACAAAGTGGAGAGAAAAAAGAGGGTGTGTAAATATAAAGAGCAAAGACAAGAGAGAGGATGCAAAGGGGTGAGAGAAAAGAGGGTGTGTAAATATAAAGAGCAAAGAGAAGAGAGAGGATACAAAGTGGAGAGAGAAAAGAGGGTGTGTTGTAAAGAAGAAAGATAAAGAAATAAAGATAAATATTCTGAAAATGAAACAGAAAGAATAAAATTTAAAGAATCTTTTTAATTAAATTTTTAAAAAAACCCTGATACACAAAAGGCACCTGATCAGTAAAAAATGAATCAAAATGAAAATGCTTTTCAATTAATGGCTAATCAGAAGGGATGGTCACCATATTTTTTTATTTGCAAACTGTATGGTAGGCAAAGTGGAACAAAAATGTATAGGTGAGAAGATTGGTGAAAAAGAAAGATCACACATATGCATTCATAATAAAAAGTAAATCTATGGATGATATGAAAATAAAGACTGTCTATCAATATATCAGAACAGAATAGACAGAATGCCTATGTGCATATATATTTCTATGCATGTTGAAGTGTGTGCACAATTATCTAACTGTTGTAATTTATGTATGAATGGGATTGAAAGCAGGTATATTTCACGGTGTATTGAATGAATGAGAGAACAAAAAGAGGATGTGTGAATGAAAAAGAAAGAATGAGTGTGTTAAGCATAAAGAAAAGAGGGAGAATGAAAGAATGAAAAAGGAAAGAGTAAATGAAAAAGAGAGGATTAAAAAATAATGTGAATAAAAAGAAAGAAGGAATAAGGGAATTAAACAGAAAGGAATGAGAGAATGAAAAAGAAAGAATGAGAGAATGAAAAAAAAAACAGAATGAAAGACTAAAAAAAGAAAGAGAGTATCTATGAATAAACAAAAGCTTCAGAAATGTTTATTTGTGCCAATATGAATTGCCTTTCACTTACAATCAGTCTCTCTCTCACCCTTCCTTCATTGATTCCTCCTTCCTCATCTCATATGAATACTTAATGGAAAGAGATAGAAATTTAAAGACCCAAAGGAGAAGTTAACCTGTAAAAAGAGTATCAGGATATTCCATTTGCTTAAAGTGGGGAAGACAGATCATCAGGTGGCTGAATTAAAGGTGATAGTAGCTATATTAGTTGTTAAAATGGTGGCAGTACTAGTAAACCAAGTTACTGTGGCAGATAAGGAAAGGGAAAGAAACTCAGGTACCATTCTTAGACAGTAGAAAGACTGAACAGATAAAGTATATAAGAAGTAAATTCAGAGGGGCCCTGAGAATCAGAAAGAGGAGCAAACTGATGAGTAAATCATTTAGTAATGAGGTTCATATGTTGAAATAAATAATTTCTACAAGGTCACTAATTTGTTGACATGTATGGCCACTCACTTTAGAGACTGAATTTTTTTATGCTTAAATCAGTTTTCATACAAGCAAACACACATACATATACACAGAAAAGTAACATGAACATTTCTTTTGTTTAGTCACAAATGCTTGTGACTTAGTAACATCAAAACTGAATTTTGTAACAAAATAAAAAAATCAACCTTTCCAAATTAGATTTTTCTCTTCCCCACCTGCACATGTAGAATTTGTTAAGGAATATTAAAGAATAGAAATAATAAAATAATAATATTCAACTTTTAATTCAATCAATCTTTATATACTGGACTTTTTATACAGTGTAACCCAGATATAAGAGAGATTTTCTCTGGTCCCAAATTAGAGCCTGTGTTAATGTATATAAAATAAACCAAACCCGGATATAAGAGAAACCCGGATATAAGAGACGACTTCTCCGGTCCCAACAACTCTCTTATATCCAGGTTACACTGTATTATAACATGAAATATATATTTCATGTTGCTTCAGTTGTATTTAGTTATTTGTCTAACGTCTGAACAGAAACTTGCTGCTCTATCACTATTTCCATACGAAGTGTTCAGATGAACTACATTCCTTAATTTCACCAGTTCTAACCGGATCTGCCATGCCACACACATTGTAGTGAACTACTGTCATCCCCTTCATTTTCCATTGGTGAGATGTAAGTTCCACTTGAGCAGCTTTTTCTATGAACTGCTGCTTTGTGGAACCAACTCTCAGGAGGATGCTTCCCCCAATCACTACAATCCTAACCTGTTCATGTCTAGGGTTGACCATTATCTTCCCTACATATCCCTATAAATCACTGCTTTGTTGAAACAACTCACAAAAGGATGCTTCCCCAATCACTACCATTATACTCTTAATCTGCTCAAGTTTAGAGTTAACCATTACCTTCCTCATAAACTATGCCTCTTACTCTCTAGCCCTCTACCTCAAGTAGATCTTAGGCCTTGTAAAGGGTGAAGATGATCATAAAAAAAAACTTAACCATCAAGGTAACTTTTGGAGGAACATTTTGTGAGTAAGTGCATTTTATATAGTGAGAAATATAGTGTTGTTATCAGTTAGTCTAAAAAATAAAAACAATTTTTATCTAATAAAAGGACATTAAAAGCAGCAAGCCACATTCTATATAATGATAAACTTAATTTTAATTAATGCAACAATGAACTTATCTGAAGCAGAATAATGATAATTTGCTGTAAATTCAGCCATCCTGTTTCAAATAAAAATTAACAATTATTTGCACTTAAGTATTGTTTTAAAAAAGTAATTATTTCTGAATTAATAGACTTGCCTGAGATATTTTTGGAAAATGTTAAAGAGAATCTCTTTTCATGATTCAAACTAATGCAAATATGCACAAGAATTATAAGAGCTACATAATATAACCTACCATTTTATACATAGATACATAATGACACTCATGCAATTGAGATTATTTATATTTATACTATTAATAATAAATATACATTTTTTCTCACTGTTTGGTACAACACTAAGTTTCCTGTGGAGTGAGTGTAAAATAATAATAACTCCCTTCACCCACTCCCTTCAAATTTGGATGAGCTGAGGAAGAAGAGGGAAAGAAATTTGTGAATCAATGTGAACTTTTCTTTGGACCAATGAAAACTTTGCCTTCACAGAAATTGACTAGTGAGCTGAAAAGAAGAAGGAAAGGAATTTGTGAGCCTATGTGTAATTGTTTTTTGCCCAATGAAAACCTTGCCTTCACAGAAATTAGCTGGTCAGCTGAGAAGAAAAAGAAAAGAAGGTAGTGAACCAATACAAATTTTCTTTTATATAAAAATGATGAGAAAAATTAAATTGATAAGAGAAGAATGTCTGAAGTCATGCAAAAGGATTTGTTTCTGTCCACCACAATCAGTATTGAAGTTCTTGTAGGTGTAAAATTATTCACCAATTATATTATCAGCCTCTAACCAGCACATGGTACTTCAAGGAATTTTCTCTCAACAATCCAAGAAAGCTAAGTATTTCAAACTATATTTCTTCTTTTACTTTTGAATGTATGCAAACCATATATCCCTTTGCTGAGCAACAAACATTTTTGAATATTATTTTGTGTCAGATCATTCAATCTGTTATATGAAAATTTCCTTTTCAAGACAATATTTTAAAACTACAGACTTTGAGAATTCTAACTTATTTTCCTGAAATGAGATACTGACACGACATCAAAATGTAAATTTGTGAATAAATTAAAATTACCAGTATGTTTCCTCGTCAATATCACGCTTCATTAATCCTGGTGTGGGTTCATCGACTGTTAATTTTAAACACTAAGCCCCATGCCACCATATAAGCATAAAGCAATGTTCAGATACTGATTGAAAACTGACCATTATAAAATTTAAATATGACTGTTAAGACAGTGTGGAAGTCCATTTAAAAAAATAAATAATAAATAAAAAATAAAATAAAAGATAAAATTGTAAAATAAATAAATTAATAAATAAATATAGCCATTAAATTTCATGCAACAAATATAATCAAATATACAAACACTTACATATCTACATTCAAAAATAATATATAATAAACACATCTAGATATATATATATACTCTCATTAATTATATCTATTAAAAAAAAATTATTAACACCACCACTCATAGTGCAATATTACATATATTATATATATATATATATATATATATGTGTGTGTGTGTTTGTGTGTGTGTGTATTTATTGTATATTTGATCAGCAATTCTTCTTGTATCTATGTATCATTAAATATGACAGACAAGGAATACTTTCTCAAATTTTTATTCAGTTTTTCTATCATTCTTACAGTTTTTCTTTTTGAGCTTAATGTGTGAAGAAACTGTTCACTGTGTTTGTTGTACTGAGGGCATTCACCTACTTTTTTAGTCATTTTCAAAGAAGGGTTAACTCCCTTTTGTTAGTATATAGTTGACTGCTTTGTTTCCTATCTGGTGTTGTGTGAAAGGTATTTTTTATAGTATTTATTTGATTCTGACTTAGGTTCTGAGCAGAGCCAAGACACTTTAGTTCCATTCAAAAAAGGTGCCATAAAGGGAAGATCTGTTTTCTTTTGTTAGAATAGCTTCTCATACCTCTAGACATTTTTACAATCTGTCTTTACACTTAGGTCTCAAAAAAATTCTCAGTACACAAGAAATATTGAATAGAAACATAGAAAACATTCTTTGTCCATCATATTTAACAAAACATATATATATATATATATATATATATATATATATATATATATTAAAAAAATAGGATAATTTACTGCCTACACCACCCGGGTTTCACTCGTAAGGTTTCTTCTGGTAGTATTGGAAAATGATGTTTTTTTAGACTGTCGAGAAATTCCTTGTCTATGGGAATTTTGGAAGAAAAGTAAAAAGAATATGAAACAGCATTGTGAGTGGAGGGCATAAAACTATATTAACTTTCAAACCTCAAATAAATCAGCAATTGAGGAATAAGAATAAGAAAAGAAATATAACCTGTTTTAACCCCCTTTTAATTTGGAAGTGAAAATTAATATAGGAGAGATATTTTTTTTTGCTGATAACAAAGCACTTACCAAGGTCTTCAGGGTAACATAGAATCTTCAATAGAAGTACAGTAAAATTGAGCTATAGCTGTTCTAACAATTTAGAAAATATCATAAAAAAGCAAGATACAAGAAATTGCAATTCACATATGCTGAGCAGTAGCACCAATAGTAATGTTTGTAATTGCAGGAATAAAGACAAATGTCTGTTGGATGGTGCCTGTAATATGAAAGAAGTGATCTATAAGGCATAAGTGAAAAATGGCAGTGGACAAACCAAGGTCTATGGGGTATGCATGGAAGGCAAAGTTAAGCAAAGTTGGTACAACCATAAATCTTCTTTTAAATTGGAAAGACACAGGTACCGTACCAAACTTTTCAGCCATGTATGGGAGTTAAAAGGAACTAAATAATAAAAGCCCTAATGTGAAATGGAGTATTTTGAGAAAGGTCAAGTCTTGCAAAATTGATAGGTGTTTGCAAATCCTACCAAGAGATGAAAAGGAGCATTTAAAAAAAACATAATTTGCTTATTAGCACCTGAAGAAACCTTATGGTTGAAACTCAGGTAATGTAACCAGTAAATACTTCTATTTTTTAATATGATGTGCACCATGCGTTCAATTTTTTGAATTTGTATAGTGAGGACATTTTTGAAATACCTGTTAGCTGTTCTGACATTGTTCTGACAAACAGCTTTATTATATATATATATATATATATACACACACACACAAAACAGACAAATACTTATACAAGGTATTGTATAAAATATATGTGTGTATATGTATATATATATATATATATATATATATATATCCACACACACACACACATGTAAACAGAAAAACATATATACAAGGTACTATGTAAAAGTTTGGTGCTTGCTGCTGTTGTTAAGTAGTGTTTTATAGAGTTGATAGTCCTACAACAAAATGGTTTTCAGTTTTCTTTCTCTTAGATTGGTTGTCAAGTTAAACAACCCAGTGCGCACTGCTTTTAATCCTAAACTGAGGAGAGAAGAGTAAGATTCATACCTTTCCAAAGCTATTTGTATATTCTTTCTCTCTTTCTGTGTGTGTATGTGTGTATAATTCATATTGATGAGAAATTTCAAGCTGAAACTTACTGACTGCAAAAAATAACAGAACACATTCACTGCCCAAAAACATTTTTCTTTTCATCTCTTTAAATCAACTCTTGGTTAAGGTGATAATGCACAGGGACATTTGATAAAAACAAAATAATGAATCTGAAGGAAGTTTTAAAATAG